CAAATGTATACAGTAATACAATCCTGTTGCTGCACTTTTCTGCATCATGCGCTTGAAATGAATGCATAATGGGCTGGTACGAGTAGTATCTGTCTGTCCACCATTCCACACGTTTCAACTTGAGAACCCTCTAGACTGATTTCCACAAAATTTAGTATTGGTGAAATTTACGAGAATATGTCGTGTCGATTTAATTTTCAGTTAAACTGGGTATGTGTTACGACGGCCAAGAGTTTCTTTATATACTTCGCTAAAATTCCATCTAAAGGCGCGTCCACATTACTCGTGCTCGTGTGACTCGCTATGCTCGCGAGTAATGTGGACGATATGACAAATCACGTGACAAGAAAATTTTTAATTTTTAATTTAAGAACTATAGCCAATAACTTAAAATACGACTACAGCCTATACACACTACGAGTAAATATACGGATCCTCACGCGCCGAAGCCTGGCGAGCACGAGCACGAGTAATGTGGACGCGCCTTAAGAGGAAAAAGTTTCAAAGAAGAGTCGCACCATTGCTGTTTTCGAGGGACGTTAATGGGTATATTTTCGAACTTTCATATTCATTATTCAACCACAGTTTCAAGAACACATTCGTGCTTAGTAAACAAACAGGGATCGGAAAGAACGTACTCTCTAATGTAGTAAACAAAATTGTCAGTGACGTCTTCTGCGCTCATTAACTTTATTCACACACTGGAATAATGAAAAGCGTTTTAGTGAAAGTCTCCCATATCGAATTACAGCAAACCCTTTGCAGTAATTTATGGGATACGTGATGAATTACTTTTCTTAATGTTGTGCAAAACCGTGCCTTATTGTTGAAAACTGGAAATTACGCAGCAACATTTAAAGGTGGTTTCCCATATCAAATTTGAACAAATTATGTGAACGGTTTACTTTTTCGAGAAGGTTGGGGTTGTTTTGTCACTTTGTCTTTTTTAGTATACCTATTTTTTATGTTTATCGAGAAAAGTCCATTCATGGACTTATGTAAACCAGGCTTCATTATGGATTAATATTCAAATTCGGAATTAACTCCATGTAGCTGAGCTCTTCTTGAGAATGCGCCAATTCTGCAGCTACTCAAGAACTCCCCAGCATTTTATGGAACCCGAAGGTTCATTACCGTGTTCACAAGAGCCCTCCACTTGTCCCTACCCTGAGCCTAATCACTCCAGTCCATACCACCCCATCCTATCTCACTAAGATCCATAGTAATATTACCGATCCACATATGTCTTGGTTTTACTAGTGGTCTCTTTCCTTCTGGCTTTCCTACCAATATCCTTTATGCATTCCTCTCCTCCCCATTCGTGAAACGGTTTATGGAATATATTGAACTCTATTCTTATGGCTTGACGTAATTTACACTTTATTGTGGGTGTACATGGCTGAAAAAGAAAAACTATCCGACAGCATTTCGAGGTATCTCATACCAGTTTCAACAGACTCTGTGGAATGGGTTATGGGATACATGGAAGAGCTCACTTATGGCTTTATGAAAACCAGGAGTTATCACTGTTCAACATGGCTGAAAATCGGAATTTCCAGACAACATTTAGTGAAAGTCTTCCATATTGAATTTCAAGAAAATCTGCATAATTCTTTACAGGATACATGGAAAAGTCTATTTATAGCTTTGTGTATGGATCAATATGACTGAAAGTTGAAATAGCCAGACAACTTTTGGTGGAAGCCGTCCATATTGAATTCTAAAATTGTCTAAAGGCCTAGGTGCCGACAGTAGAACACAGACAGACCGTCAGGCATGACCTCCACGTACGGCATTCTGTTTTCACTCTGTAAAAGAACGCTTAAAGACATTAGAACATCTACATAAAGACTTTAAATTGGGTTAGAACCAAATTTGGTTGTTTAATGCAGTGCTCTCTTACAGTACGACTTCGAAGGGCATATGAATTTGTAGAGGATATTCAAGAACCTTTCAGATTATTTGCTTATTTTAACTTAATTGATTGTTCGACATGTTTCGACATTTAATTGTCATCCCTAGAGATATTCGTTCAATATACAACATACAATATTAATTCTTGCTCAAGATCATTTTAAAATTTGTATATAAAATGTAAAGCTTCTTATAAAACTGTCCAACAGGTGAAGTAGCGCCATATTATAATATAAATTACGTGTTCAAAAGTCTTCATGCGTTTTAAAGATCTTGTGATCTAAAATTCAGACCGCCTCTGTGGTCTAGTGGTTAGAGTTCCTGGCTACATATCCAAAGGTCCCGGGTTCGATTCCCGGTGCTACCAGATTTTCTGAGTAGTAGTCGGTCTGGAACGGGGTTCACTGAGCCTCGTGAGGATAACTGAGGAGATACGTGAATGGAAAAGCAGCGGATCCGGCCTAGAAAACCGAGATTAACGGCCGTGGGGATTCGTTGTGCTGACCACGCGACGCCCTCTATCCGCTAAAGTTGACACTAACTTCGCCGACAAGCGGCGGTAGCTCGGGCGGTATAGTTCGATTGCGGACTAAAGCCGAGGAGTTATGATTTTTTCAAGTAGAAATTGATATAGATGGAGGTATATTAAAAAGATAACATTAAAAGGCGTTTACTTAATTACCAAGAGGACGGCAGCGTCTTCCTGTAGAGTATGTAATTATCAGGCCGAATGTGATGTCTTTATGATGTACGCATGCGATGACTCTGACCTGGTTCAATTTATCCATATGCCTACAGGTGCATGAGGCGCAAAGAAAGCATGCAGAGAGACTGTGTGTTCTGGTACGGATTATACCTCGCCAATCTCTTTTGTTACTAGAGTGAGATGGATGGGACACGTAGCACGCATGAGAGGCTACACATGCATATAAAATCTGAATCTCTGAGCGAATACTGGCTTCTCAAAGACATTGGTCCATGAAATTAGTACTCATATGGATGGTCCAGATTAAACCTTAAAAGCGAAGTGGTTCTTATACGTACCAACTGTTTTAATATAATGAAACTGCAGTCTGTCCACAGAGTACATTTGTGTGTTTCGTATGGTTCTCACAACAAACAGCTACTGTTTCCCCAAACAGAATTAAATTGCTGGTCTTTGTAGTGGAGCCGTAATGTGTTTCCTGTGAGGTACGAACTGAATGTTTATATTATTTAGAAGAAATTAAGTCTTTAAAGGGGTTCAGTTGAATTTTATCAACAGAATTTAAATCTATTTGGAAGTACGGATTAGCTCACCTCGTAAGCATCAGCCAGTGCTCCAACTCAAGTACCCTTCCACGAGAGAGTTCTTAATGACATTTCAATTTTTCGTAGGAATACTATGCAAATAAATATAGCGTGACATTTTATTGCAGGGTATCAACATCAATATATTCAATCCTCTGAGACCAGCTCCGCTCTCTGCTGAGGACCCAGAGCTCACTGCTGCTACATCACAAGCATATGCAGTAAAATGAGGTGGAAGTCGCGTACGCTTTCCGTCAGTTGAGGAAAATAGCTTATTCATACTCATTTGACTATTTAACTTTTTCGGTGTTACGGACGTATGTAAACGTAATTCCATTTGCTAGAATAGATTAAAGTTAGATTAGTGTAGATTAAGATCGATTAAGTGGCCGGTCACGGTAGCCGAACGGCCTAAGGCATGTAATGTCTTCACTCGCTTGGAAACCGGGATCGTGGGTTCGAATCCCACTCAGGGTATGGATGTTTAGTTCGTGTGTGTGCGTTTTTCTGTGTTTGTGTACAGGTAGAGGCCTTGCGACGAGTTGATCACCCGCCCAAGGAGTCCTACCGAATGTGTAAGATCTAGAAAAACCGAAGTGAACGGAATTCATGGAGGTAGGCCTAGGCCCACTGGGGATGTAGTGCCAAGGAAAAAAATTTAGCACGAATGGGGGAGACGAGGAATGCGTATAGGATATTGGTGGGAAAGCCAGAAGGAAAGAGACCACTGGGAAGACCAAGGTGTAGGTGGGTGAACAATATTAAAATGGATGTTAGAGAGATAGGATGGGATGGTATGGACTGGATTGATCTGGCTCAGTATAGGGACCACTGGAGGGTTCTTCTGAACATGGTAAAGAACCTTCGGGTTCCATAAAACGCTGGGAAATGCTTGAGTAGCTGCAGAATTGACGGCTCCTCCAGAAGGGCTCAGCTCCAGGGTGAGTAAGATTAGGTTACAGACGTGCATATACGTGCTCTGACACTTCTGTATTCCGAACTAACCAAAAGAAAATCGGCACTGAAGCGGTTAATGAGGACCTGCAAAAATAACACTATGACTGACCATAAGAGATACAGATTGTGAAGATGCAAGGTGGATAGAACTGATTCAGTGCCTTATCCAGATCGTTCGCTTAGGTGTTACCTTTCGGTGTTGAAGATTTCTGCTTACATTCTTTAGGCCTGCGTGTTGTGTTGAGCCTATATCACTTATTGAAACTCCTGAAACAGTTAGCCACTAAACTTCGCAGGAGCGCATGACACTGGAGTCACCTTAGTATCTATTTTTCCATTCCCTACAATCGGTAATAACAACATGGCAGGCGCGCGAAATTGTGAAGTGAAAGCGACACTAGTGCCACTTACAAGGTGACTTTTGTATAATTAGTTTCCGATTTAATTGTACTCTTCTTCAAATATAATTAGAATGATCAAGTCAAGGAGGATGAGATGGGCAGGGCATGTAGCCGGCTGCCCTTTACATCCCAAGAAGATCCCTGGTACTCACTTCTCTTAGAGGCTGAGTGGACCCCAGGGCCATAGCGTGGCTGGAATAATTAGGTAAACTGAAAAAAAAACTCATCGGGACTCGAACCCGCGACCTTCCGGCTTTTAGCATAGTGCCTCAACCAACCACGCTACCGCGTACCCCGGATTAAAATAGGTTATATGAAATTAATCCACCTTTTTATTGCTACACACATGTATGACTGTGATGAAATGGGAAAGAATTTTAAACATTCCACATTTCCTTACAGTCAAGACGACTAAGTAATCCATTATTTTGGACTCACCACTTTTATTATCCATAATGTCTCTATATCCGTGTATTATATCTCTCACGAGTTCGGCCATGGTTGCGTGATGACGTCACAGCTGCTGTCTACTCCCGCCTCTGTGGACAACAAAACATGCAAAATTGATTCATGCGATATGACAAATACCTATTTGTATTGAAAAAAGAAGGGGGGGGGGGAGAAATCCCACACGTGACGACACCTGGCTGGGATCCAGATGTCATTTCCCAATGAGATCTACAGTCAAGCTGACAGGCAAACAAATGCTTCGAGCTGTCGAGTGAACAAATGACTTCCTATATTCAGCACGTTTCTATACTGTGATATATGTTAATATCGGTAACATGAGGTGGGCAGGGCATGTAGCACGAATGGGGGAGATGAGGAATGCGTATAGGATATTGGTGAGAAAGCCAGAAGGAAACAGACCACTGGGAACAACAAGGCGTAGGTGGGTGGACAATATTAAAATTGATCTTAGAGAGATAGAATGGGATGGTGTGGATTGGATTGATCTGGCTCAGGATAAGGACCAGTGGAGGGCTCTTGTGAACACGGTAATGCACCTTCGGGTTCCATAAAATGCTCGGAAGTTCTTGAGTAGCTGCAGAATTGGTGGCTCCTCCAGAAGGGCTCAGCTCCATGAGTAAGCGAATAGGGACAATACCTCACCCTGACCGCAACAGTTACTGTAAGTTTAAGTGTATTTTTAGTGCAGGCTGCCTTTTATTATATTACAAAGAAACTGAATGAAGAGCTTTCATGAAATTGGGCATGAATATCACGCAACTGAAGTCATTCTACTGCTGCACTCCAAACTTTCCTTCCACAAACACTACCAGCACAAGGATAGTGCGAACTTGTGATACAGGAGAGATATTTTTATTATTTAATTGGGGTCCTAAACGTTTGTGTTGAAAAATAGGCTAACGAGAAAATAATAAATATTTGTTAAAAATTGTGTTTTATTCTTAAATGTAACACATCGGTATGGCGACTGGCTCGTTTTCCCAGAAGTTTCCAAGTTGTAGGGATTAGTTATTTTTTGATAAAGTTTGTTTTCAACAGCTTCATATTGTCACTTGTAGGGTGTTTGCATTCTGATAACAATGGGTTCTATATCTGTCCATTTGCAATCAATTGTTACAGCTCACACTCAATCTTGAGGGTAGAGGCCTGCCATCATTCTGCTTCTCGTTCTACAACTACCTGAAAGTCAAAGTCGAAGTCAAACGTCAGAGTTACTTTACAACTGGCTGTTTACCGCCAATCAGTTCGTATTGGCGCCAAGCCCTTTGAGAAACACGACCAGCCATTTCCCCCGCCCCGCAACTGAACCCTTGCGGTAATAGACCCTATGTAGTACCCTCTCTGACGAGAAGACGGGTTTGTCTCTTATGAAAACACTTGACCTTTCGTCAAGTCTATATTTCGCACGTATAACACGTTATTGAAAATTCTTCCTTTTGCACTAGACACAAGTCCTCTGTCAGTACAGGCTTTACAGAGCAGATCATGCCTAACTTACGTATCTTATGCTACAACGACAACTTAGTCATTTGAACGGTCGTAAGCTTGACCACCGCCAAGTTTAAGCCTCTTATCTTTTTTGTGTCTTGTTTCACCTTGTCCTATACGGCGAACATGTTCATTCTCATGATTTTGTACGATTTGTTTGTCGACTGCACAATTTTCTTACATAATCGTATACATACGGAAAGTTGAAAGCTGTGTGCAAGTCACTTAGGACTCGCGACCATATTTTACTGTCTCAGATATGAGACTTCCTTTTTCGTCGCCTCCTACGACTCGTAGGGTCATGGTGGAGGTATTCGACCCGGCCTCCACACGGGGCTCCCTGCAAGCAACCTTCGTTGCCTCCTATATATAACTTCGGCAAGGTCCACGCTCAGAAAAAAACATTAAGAACACTGCTAGAAATTCCTCTATTGTTATAAAAATGTGTTTACTCTGCCGTTGCATAGAAGCGGTAGTTTTTCTATCGTTGCCTTCCAATTTCTTTGCCACGAGAATATGTTAGCGACCAGTTGCCTAGCAATGGATCATTTCGTCACACTAATAACATGGGTCCTACACCCAACAGAGAAGGATGCGCACATCCGAACACATGTACAAGCACAAGTTCTCATAAAACAATCTAAAATCCAGTTGTAATATAGGTTCTAACCTGGTATACACGGGTCAACACAAACACAAACGAACTTGAAGAACTGAAGACTAAGAGTATAGTACCAACAATACTACTGCTTGCAACTCACTATATCTTTCTTTAATATAACATTGTGTCGGACCTCATAAAAAACATGTCGCTGTCCGTAATGTTGCAGGCTTTCCCCAGCAACGGCTATTTACTCGCCGTTAAGTAATTGTGAAAACTGCCTGCATTCAAGCAAACGTCGGAAATCACTATAGCTTCCTCTTATATAACATTGTGTCGGACAGCATAGAAAACACGTCGCTATCCGTATTGTTGTAGGCTTTGCCTAGCAGCGGACGTTTACTCGCCGTTGCTAAGCAATGACACTTGCGTTGACACTGTAGCATTTGCATGGGGGAAGTTCCCACAATTGCTTAGAAATGGCAAGTACACAGCCGTTGCTAGGTAAAGCCTACAACAATACGGATAGCGACGTGTTGTCAAAACTGGAATTTTCGACCAGTGTTGTCACTGTAACGTATGCTTGAATGCGGGCAGTTCCGACAATTGCTTAGTAGCGGCGAGTAAACAGCCGTTGCTCGGCAAAGCCTACAACAATACGGACAGCGACGTGTCGTCAAAACTGGAATTGTCGACCAGCTTAATCAACCTTACTGGATTATTTCTTTCACAACGAAAATTCAGTGTTTCGGTGGAAGTCGAAATATCTGGGCCAAGGGGTGCCACAAGGTTCAGTCCTGTCGCCTACTCTTTTCAATATGTACATAAATGACGCCCCCCAAACACACGGCGTTCAACTAGCCCTCTTTGCAGATGACACTTGTCTGTATGCGACAGATCGCAAGGAGGGTTTTGTTAGAAAACTCCAGCGCGGTCTCAGCTCAACGGAGACTTGGTGTGAGCATTGGAATATCAAAATTAACGACAGGACTCGGGGGATCTACTGCTCTCGCAGTAATCTTTGAGAGGGGGGTTACATGGAGACTGCACATAGAAATGATCGAAGCCAAGGCCTTCAGAACATTTATAAGATTGTACTCCCTATTCAAAAGTGAGCGATTAAGCACCAATATTAAGCTGACCCTCCACAAAGCTCTCATTAGATCTGTAATGACTTATGCTAGTCCCGCCTGGAAGTTTGCGGCAGACACTCATCTAGTGAAATTGCAAAGCCTACAAAACAAGGTTCTCCGCACCATTGGCAATTTTCAAAGGCACACGCCGGTTCGCGATTTACACACGGCTTTCAAAATTCCGTACGTATATGATAATATATCAAAAGTATGCAGGCAACAAGCAGAAGTCTTATAAAATCATGACAACAAAAATATTCGCAATATTGGACAAGGCGAAGCCCTACATAGAAAGTATAAGAGGCTTAAACTTGGCGGCGGTCAAGCATACAACCGTTCAAGTGACTAGACTGCCGATAATCTGCTATACTGAGCCTGGACTGACAGAGGCCCTTTATATATTTAATACATTCATTATTATGTTTAACATGTAAAATGTAAATATTGTGACATGTTGCGCAAAGGAGAACCCCCCCACCAGCAGTGACGCGGCGGGTGAGTCAGCGCTCCCCTCCCCCTCCTCCGCACGGTAACGTAACGGTGACGCAACAGGATTGCGAGAGACGACGGTAGTAACAGCGGTTACTACCGCTAGCGTTGCTAGCAACACAGCGCCAGGCAACAAGGGTGCTTATTACGTGGCCGTTCTCTGTATTGTCCGATCGAGGCTACATGAGGAGCAGCGAAGGCTATTCACAGTTAGTCCTGGAGCTACCTACGAGTCAGTCCTCGAGCTACCTCCGAGTTAGTTCCGAGTTAGCCAGGACCAGTCAGTTGTATTCTGGCATTTGGAGTGTACTAATTGTGATACTGCAGATAGCAGTAATCGTCAGATTGTAATTCGGGTGATTGTAAGAGCGAATGTGAAATAAAATTCGCTATATTAAATACGGCGTGAAGTTATTTGTCGCGTTATACGCCCAAACACGCGACAATATTGTGACGTATTGCGCTATGGAGGACATCCCCTCCCATGCCAGCGGTGACGTAATAACATTGAGCGCTGTCGCTGCTATGTTAACAGGCCAGTCAACACTCCGCCCCCTCACCCGCGGTGACGTGGCAGCGCTTCCCACTGTGACGTAACAGGCGAAAAAACCTGTAATCACGGCGACTAGGTAACAGGGAAGCGAGGCGTTTTCCGTTGTCTGGCTGAGGGTTTATAAGAGAACTGCACTGCTTAAGGAGTCAGTGAGATGAGTGAAGACCCGTGTGGAGGCGGGGTCGAATACCTCCACTGTGACCCTGCGAGTCGTAGGAAGCGACGAAAAGGGAAGTCTCAAATATGAGACAGTAAAATATGTTTGCGAGTCTCAAAGGACTCGGACATGAGAAAGACTGCGCTGCCAAGGGCCAGCAGCATATACAGAAGACAGACCCGTCCTCTCGTCAGAGAGGGCGCCCCACAAAAGCAAGACCGTAAATGTCAAACAGTGATACATATCTGGTCATGAGCCCCATAAGACTTACTGACTGACCGTCAGTCGCAATGTGACTTCGACTTCGATTTCGACTTCGATTAAGGAGTCAGTTAAAATGCAGCAGCCGCCGAAGACAGTTAAAATGTAGCAGCAGTCGCGGAAAGAAGAACCGGACGAGTGGTTGGAAGATTTTATACTGCGCGATAACTGAGAAGTCAGCCAGTGAAGGCTTACTGTGTGCCTTCAAGATTTTGTGTGTGCTGTAGAACAGTTATTTGGGGAGACTTGTATAACTCCCGCGTTATAAATACGTGAAAACTACTGAAGAAAGAGTGAACAGATTATTGTGTACGGTTTATAAATTGGGTAAACCCGCAACTGTGTTATAATTAATTGTAACTACGACTTGTAGGTTGTTAAATAAA